TCCCAGCACCCAGCCAATGGGACCGGCCACACCCCACCTTCCAGAGGGCCTGGTGCAGGCCCGGAGCCCCCCCTGCTTTGCACACACGTGACTTCCGTCTTATTGATGAGCCACAGCCATTGACACGGGCTTTTAATGAACCCACAGTATTCTCAACTGTGCCTCAGAAATGACATGGGTTCAATCAATTCCTCTGCCTAATAGTCTGCTCTTTCTCCTGAGAGTCTGAAAAACTGATTTTCTAATTCTGTGGCATTACCACTTTATATTCTGTCTTACTCCACGCTCCACGAATCAGGGCAAAGTTAAATAAACCAAGGGGAAAAGATGGCAGCTAGTGGATAAGTGGATAGTGCCCGGTAATTGGTGGATTTATGCACTGAGTTACAGGAAATGCCTGTCTACAGCTAGGGAATGTCTAAATACATGTTCCTCTACGAATATACACGCAGATGCACACACATTATCTGTACCGTCCATGGGAACACGTGCTTAGGTAACAACCAAAATAATAAAAGCAAATGTTCATTTTGAGCGTCTGCAGCATGTAGCCTAAAGGCACCTTCTCTGGCTTCATTTTCACGCATCCCCATGACGGCGTCTGAAAGGGGTGCTGCTGTGTCTCCCCGTTTGACCCTGAGTGAACCGAGGCACCCCCACATCCAATCACTGGCCCTGGGCCGCACGGGTGTTCCATCTTGGCGTAAGGGCTTGAGCCTGGCTCCCCCTTGCGCTGGGTGCACCCAGGATATGTGCTCAACGTGCTAAACATTCACACTGGAGGCTTAGTGGTTTACTGGAGGTATTATTAGGGCTGATATTACTTAAAATATGAAAAAACTCAGCTCCACTAAGAGTGCACAGGCTGAGACTGGGCCCTCCCAGACCTCGGTCTGCATGTCGGATGCCCCGTGTCATCGTCGGACAGGGGGCACCCTGGAGGGACAGTGGGAGTCCTTCTACAAGGACTCAGGGGAGGCCCTCGCTGTTAGCTCCCTCTGCAGAGGTGGCCTGTGCGTGGCTGCATTCTCTCACTGAACTAACTCTGTTAAACCACATACGTGACTTAAGGAGAGTCAAGGTTCCTGCAAAGAAGCCATTAATTCAGGAGAGCGCTAATCAAGCAGGCCCGCCTGCCCGGAGGGACGATGGCAGCCGAGGAAGGGAGCGCCGTGGGCGCTGCTGGCGGACCTCACCTTGAGGCTGTAACAGGCCCTGGGATATGAACTAGGTGGGGCGTGAAGCCATTACGTAGCAAGACGTTTAAAAACCAAGCGAGTGATAAACGAGGAAAGTGTTTCTGTTGAGCAAACTCAAGACAATCGGTTTGTTTCTATAAAAACATTCTAGGGTAACATTGGAAAGTCTCTTTTTACATAGGACGGGGAAACATCATGTGAGTCACAGCAAAAATAAGAAGGCTGAGATAGTACCTGACAACAATATGGGACGAGCGGAACTGTATTTTGTTGGGTCAGTGCTTTGGGAAAACGGCAGTCCCGTCCATGGGGGATATGTGCCCCGCCCCCGGTGGATGCCCGAGATGCGGGTAGTACTGAACCCTGTATACAATGATTTTCCTTACACAGACACACCTGTGCTAGAGCTTAATTCATAATGCAGGCCCCTCTCTCCCCCCTCCTCCCTCCCTCTTAAACCATCTATTGTCCCACACTCGCCTTGCCACTTAAAGGAAGTGCTTTCTGGCTTCCCCCTGGCAGATCCCAAGTGCCAGCCTCCTGCCAGCCTCACTGCTCTTGTGCTTTGGGGACCGTACTGAGTAAGCTCAGGGCGCCTCGAGCACTAGCCCTGCGACACTATAGGCGGCTACGACGTGGCTACTCAGAATGGTGCCAACGGGAGGCGTCTGAATTGTTTATTTCTGGAATGTTTCCGCTGGATATTTTCCGCGTGGTTAGCAGGGGAGAAGTGAAACCTTGCAGAGTGGAGCCGTGGGTCTGGGGGGACTACTGTGTACAGGCAAACACTGGTGAAGATGTGAAGTGGTCCTGGAATGAATGAAGTACGCGGTGTAGGAGGGTCACTGCACAGGCGGAAACAGCCGGCTGTGCCCACCCTGCCCGGCCTGTGGTCACTTGCTACATCCTCTTTCAATAACAACACACACAGACAGGCAGCCTTCTGCTTACTGCTGTTGAACATTAAAGGAAAGAGGAGTCAAAGAGGATAGTTCTCAACAGGAGGTGGCATTTTAAACACTGAAGGCGGGGTTTCATGGAGGTTATGCTTAAATAGCAGTAACGAGGCCGGTACGTTCACGGTGAGCCCCCCGGCACCGAGACCCGGACTGCTGCGCCCGTGTCCTATGACAGGAGCCAGCGCCTTAGAGATTGGCTGACTCCAGGCTACTGAGAGGCTCACGGAGAGAGCCTGGACTTGCTGCTGCATGGGAAAGCCTGGTTCAGGTGGACCAAGTGGGTGACTTCATATGTTTGACATTTTCTATCATGAAAAAGGTTTAAAATTTAAAAATACACGAGAAGCTGGTTTTTACAAGTAGGTTGGCTACGAAGATAAATTTTGAAAATGGATATTTTCCAATGTTTCCATGTTACTTGGTTTTGCGAAGGAAGAAGGTTTATCCATTTTTTAAAATCTCTTTAAAAAATTAAAAACAGAAACAGAATTTTCCAAACTTCAAATAAATGTTTCACTGACTTTTGAACCCTCTTGTTAAAGAGGTGACAGTGCAGTACCTTTCAATAAGTTTTCCTTAACAATATACTGACACATATATTATGTAAATCCTAATTTACAAACCACTGCATTATTGGCAGATGCAACTGAAAAATGAATGTCCTAAGTTACAAAGCCAATGACGCAAGTAGCTACTTCCACTGGGTCTCTGAGAGAATGTTGAGGTGCACTGTTAAGCTTTGACCAATAGTAGAACTAAGCGTTGAAAGAAACTGAACTCACAGTCTGACCAATCAATCAAGGTGTCGCACAGTTTCCAGCCACAATTCTCAGAACCAATGAAGCACATTTCCTCACACTGCAGTCAATAAAAGCAAACTCATAATGAGGCGTGGACCCTTACCTCACTCCACATACAGAAATGAACTCAAACTAGTCAGTGACCTAAATACAAGGGCTAAGCTATCAAATGAAACCACGGGGTCTATTTTCATGGCTGTGGATTTGGCAATGGATTCTTAAATTTGGCATCAAAAGCACAAGCAGCAACAGAAAGAAAAAAAAAAAAAGAGAAACTGGACTTCATCAAAATGAAACACTTTTGTGTATCAAGGGACATTATCACCAGCCAACAGAATAGGAGGAAGGTTTGGAAATCATCTATCTGATCAGGGTCTAGTGTCCAGAATACGTAACGAATGCTTCCTCCTCAACAGCAAGGCAAACAACCCCATTAAAAATGCACAAAGGACGAGCAGGCATTTCTCCAAATAGATATTCAAGTGGCAAACAAGCGTCTGAGAGATATTCAACACGGCTGGACAGGAAGGAGATGCAAACCAAAGCCACAACAGCATGCCGCCTCACACTCTCAGGACGGCCACCGAGACGACAACAATGAAAAGTAACAAATGTTGGTGAGGCTGTGAGGAAACAGAACCCTTATAAGTTGCTGCAGGTACTGCAAAATGGTGCCTCAGCTACGGAAAGTCCTTTGATAGGCCTTCAACGGGTTAAACGCAGAATTACAATACGACCCAGCATTATTCATAATCGCCAAAAGGTGGAAACAATGCAAATGCCCGTCGACACATGAACAGATAAACAAACTGTGTCTATCCATGTAATGGAATATGATTCGGCCACGAAAAGGAATGAAGATACAAGCCACTACTCGGATGAACTTCAGAAACACTGCGCTAAGCGAAAGAAGGCAGACACAACGGGTCACGGGTGGTCTGGTCCCTTTCATTGAAGTATCCAGAATGGACAAACCCATGGAGACTAACCACAGTGGCCGCTATGAACTGGGGGTCACGGGGGACGGGAAGAGGTCACTGAATGGACATGGGTTGTTTTTACTCGGGTAATAAAATCGCTCTACATCTAGAGGGAGCCGGGTGGTCCCTGCGTTGTGAGCGCACAACATGCCACTGTACTGCACACCTTAAAACAGTTAACTGTATGTTCTATGAACTTCACCGCAATTAAAGAGACAGATAATAATAATAATATAGTGCAAGTACAATGTTGTAAATGTTGATTTAAAAAACATTTCAAATCTTAAATGTTTCAGCTCCATCTCATCCTTCTCTGATTCCTTTTTTAATAAAGCATGTCCCAAAATTCACGCAAGAAGTAATTTTGGTAGAAAACACAGGTTTATAATTAAAAATTGTAAATTTTTTATCGATTCATAAAGTATACAGTATAGGGTTATGTATGGAATAGCACATCGGGTAAATGGCCTCCACGGCTTTGCTGGCACATATGCAAAGCTGTGGTCTTCATTGGTCTTCCTTGTCCCTGCTCCTGGGCCATAATTGGTCCTTAGTAATGCTTATCAAATTGAAGGGATTGAAATCAAAGGGCAACAGATATTAGAATCTGATTCAATAAACCAAGTAAAATTAGGCTTTTATTTTGTTGTTGTTGTTGTTGTTAATGCTCACGCAAAATTCACATCCTGTGTGAATTTTGGGACACCCTTTATCTGTTGTTTTGCACACGTGTAGGCGCTCCCAATGACTAGCAAATGAAGCGCATAGCTTCCCGTTCCGGGCAGCGCTGCTCTGGAGCAGCCTAGGAACTGACACCTGCCATCGCGCTTTCGCTGCCCAGGCCCTCGCAGGCCTTGTGCTTTCCGGTTGGACACAGCCCCCCCGCGCCGCAGTGTGTGTACTTTGCTGTGATCCAAACGTCACCGTGTCTTGCCCCCAGTGACCAAACAGGCATTTCCCTCTCCAACCCTCAGCTGGGGACCGGGTGCATCTGAGACAGGTTCCCACCAGCAGCTCTGCTGTTCCCAGCCGGCGTTCCACCCGGGGACGCGCGAGACTTACCCACACACGGCAGCGAGTAGCCCAGCTGCGGGTCGTGGACAAACTGCCGGTCGTTGAGCCTGGTCACGCAGTACAGGTGGAAGCAGTCCAAGCAGATCACGTGGCGGTGGTTGCACTGGAAAACCAGGACCGGGCTCCTGCAAGACAGAGGCGCTGCCTGTAGCTCCTGGAGGGCTGGGAGGCCCCATGATGAAGGGCGGACCGCAACCCACGGAGGGAGGCGGGAGGGCAAGGCCGCGCTCAGAGGGACCGCCTGCTGGCGCTGAGCTCTGCACGCCCGCCTGTCTTCCAGATGGGAAGCGCCCCCTTAACCACACGGAACGTTGATTTTCCTAATTTTATATGTTTCATGTTAACAGATTTACTAGTTGGCTGTTAATTTTAATTTGTGTATTTTAAAAATCAAATTGATTGGGGTGACATTGATCAACATGAACATATAGGCTTCAGGTGTGGGTTTCTATGTTATAAGATCTGTATGTTGCACCGTGTGACCACCACCCAAAGTCAACTCTTCTCCTGTCACCATATATTAGGCCTCCCTCCCCGCACTCCCTTACTCCCTTCCCCCCCGACTTCACTCTGGCAACCACCACATGGTTTGTGTCCACGGTTCCAGTCTGGTCAGCTAACCCACTAGCCACCCCTCACACACACGCATTTCTCCCGACCCATCCTGACATCGCAGCGTCGATGCGTTTCTCCCAGAGATGTGACCCCTGGAAGGCAGACACGTGCCTGCTTTACACTGACATTCTCCCAGCACCAGGCTCTGGAAGGTTTTAAGTAAGTGTTCTGGAATTTAATTATAATAATATATAGAACCTGAACTTCCCCAAAGTCAAAAGAAAAATTACGACTGCACCCGAGTGCTTAGGGGAGCAGGCGCTCATGTTTCACGGGAAGCAGGGAAGGCGAGTTTTGGGATGAAAAACGACTCCGCAGAGCTCTGCGGCTCTAAGCCTCTGTGTCGCCACCCCATCCCCCTAAGCTCCCGTTCCTTAAATCAAGCTCGGGAGACGCTGTGAATTGATACAGACAGAGCCTAAACACTGTGGATGCCTTTAAAACATTTTGTAGGAGGGGAAAAAATCTCCCGAATAACTATGTATTTTTGCTAGCAAATGAATCGTCCAATTTTATGACAAAAAGGAGACGGGCTGAATATATTAATGTGAGATCAGCCCCAAGCCAATTTTAATAGCAAAACAGTCGCCGGAGCTTATTTAGATAAGCCCGCTCTCTATGTAATGATCATAAAATACAAAATAGTTTTCATTTCCCACCCAGTTCCTAACACATCTGTGATCTTCAGAAGCCCCCTCCACAGGAAGACTGAGATCAAACATCGGTATTACAAGAAGGTAATTCCTTAACGATTGAAATATTTTCAACGTTCTGTTTTCTCACTTATTTCAAAGCAACAGCTAATGCAGAACAAAACGGAAAAGAGAAGACCTTGCTATTTTAAGGTCGTGGGTCTTGAGGACAATGGTCGACTTGGTCCGAGCTGGCGTGCCCCAGGATAGTTTTGTGCGTTTCCACTTCCCACGCCTGAACACACGCACGCCCATTCAGGGCCTTTTCCAATGAAACACGGGCTGAGTTCTGAACTGCCAACCTTTTCCCTTGTCACCATTTTCTCCTTGAAGATGATCAAATATAACACCTGCCCATTTCTAACGTGAGCATCCGCGCCCACACAGGCTCTGTGACCCCCAGAGCGGCGGCGTTTTACCCTCCCCTCTCCCTGCAGATTCTGTGAAAAACACTGTCCCTTCTGGCCGGGCCACGTGGTCGATGAAGCTGCATAGACCACAGGGAAACGGGAGGACATATGAGCACAGTCATAAACGTCCCTGTAGGGAACCAGGCTAAACAGAGAGCTTAGCAGCTGCCCTGGAGAAAAGACACACTGAGAGCCAAGCCCGGCGTGTGGCGTGGGGTCCCGGAGCCCTGAAGGCCCCCAGCACGGGCGGGGTGGCGTTTAGTGAGTGCGACCCCGAGGGAAGGCGGAGGGGAGAGCTGGGAGTCCTGATCTGCCTGCAGGTCCGTGACAGGACGCGAGCTCCCTGGGTGCTCGTGGCCTTGGGTGGGAATGACACGACGGACAGCAGTGACATCTCTGAGGAGAGCGTGCAGGACGGGACGTATCTTCTCGGGGGTTGCTGTCCCCCCGACAGCCCAGGGTGCCCTTTGCTGAAATCACACATAAATGTTCACTGATGGAGCTGGAGGTGACTGTCCCCGAGAGCCGGCGCAGAGCAGTGACTCAGAGGCTACGCACAGCCTCCGTCACGCGGGAAAGGGGTCACGGACGCCGCGGGGACAGTGCTGAGCGACTGGTCAGCAGGGACTTCCGCTTCCATGAAGGGAGCGGCCAGACCCTTTTGTCCACGGCAGGTGGGCAGGGTTGAAGGAATGTGGGCAAAAAACAGGGCACTCAGCCCCATGCACCACCCCAGGGCGAACGCTGAGCCGCTATTAGTTAGTCCCTTGTGTCTAGAAAACAGCGCATGCTGGCACGGGCTTCATCTCCCTCTCCCTCCCTGGTGTCTCTCCAGCCACCTGCCGAACTCTGTCTGTCTCTCTGTCTGTCCACTTCCTCTGCACAGTCGCTGAGAGAGGCTGGGCCCCAACTTTCCCACTCAACGCGGCACACAGCGAATGCAACGTCCCACACGGTCTGGGATGTGCGAGGACAGGGAGCACGTCTACGCTCAAGGGAAACAGAAACCTGATGATGTGGCGGGAGAGGGACACGGACGGTGGGGTTCAGGGGGGATATGTTCAGGGGGTTAGTGGGCGGGAGAGGGATGAAGGATGAGGTTCAGGGGTGATGAGTTCAGGGGGTTAGTGGGTAGGAGAGGGACACAGACGGTGGGGTACAGGACGATGAGTTCAGGCGGTTAGAGGACAGGAGAAGGATGAAGGATGGGGTATGGGGGTGAGCTCAGGGGGTTAGAGGACAGGAGAGGGACGAAGGATGGGGTACAGGGAGGATGTTTTCGGTGGGTGAGGAGGTGGGAAGACAGTGGCTCAGGCAGCAGCCTCAGGTGTGTTCCCCAGGGGCCCGCCTCCCGGTGCTCACGCGGTTCCCTTCCACGCACCGGTGGCCTGACCCGGGTCGCAGGGAAACGCAGACACAGGACCGTGATTCCAGAACTGGGTGGGCACACACGGCCGCTGCTGTCTGCGCGCCCTGCGGGGCCACCTGCTCTCAGGACAGTGAGAGCCCCGGCCAAGGCCTCAGGCAGCCAGGGGAGGCCCCGTGGCGGGAGCTGAGCCCTGGGCACGGCCAGCACTGAGGGCAGCCCTGGGGACCGCGCCTGGCTGCTCCACGCTCCAGGCCCCCGAGTCTGTGCACGATCGCACCCAGATCGCACTCACCGCTGCCCGGCGCCCCGCCTGCGGGAGAAGCCTCTGCAGCCGTGTGACCGTGCGGGCCCGGGGACGCGGTCACACTCAGCGGTCAGAGGAGAACTGAGAGCAGTGGTGTCTGAAGGAGTCGGGGTTCCGGGGAATGGGGAGGAGAGAGCACCCCAGGGCGAGAGAAGAGACGGGCTGTGGGAGCACCAGCCTGGGAGGGGAAAGCCGACCCGCGGCCAAGGAAACACAGATGCGCGCGCGGGGCCAGCCCTGGCCGAGCAGCTGAGCGTCGACCCTGAACCAGGCGCTCACGGTCCGATTCCCAGTTGAGGCCTGTGCTCGGGCTGCGGACTGGATCCCCGGAGGCAGTCAAGTGATGATTCTCGCTCATCACTGATGTTTCTCTCTCTCTCACTCTCTGTTTTCTCTGACACCAATAAAAATATATTACACAATACATGCTTAGGGAGGGCAGATCTTCCAAAACAGCACAGACAGCAACGCAAGTGAGAAGGAGAAGCATCAAATGCAAATCCCGGAGGAGATAAAGGTAGGATCTCCTCGCAGGTGGAGAAAGTCCTTCAGTTTCCCGACCCAACGTGACCCTGGACCATCCACACGTCCGCACGGTGTTTGTGCCACAGAACACAGACGTCCCCAGTGAGCCACCTCCCCACGCTCTCTGCCAGCTTCCCTCCCCAGAGTCACCTCCCCACGCTCTCTGCCAGCGTCCCTCCCCAGAGCCACCTCCCCAGCATCCCTCCCCCCTCCCCCGGGAGCCACCTCCCCACGCTCTCTGCAAGCGTGGTCCCAGAGTGGCCAAGGCTCCGGGGTTTAGTAGAGCCTTTGACTAGATAAGAATCATTCGCGGAGGAAAGCCACACCATTAAGTCACTTGACTTGATCTTCTTAGCAACTGTCACTTCAAATCCCGTTCGTTAGAGGCAGCTGCTAAACAGCGGATCGATGGCGGAAAGCTCGGCAGCCACACGTGTCTCCTTTCATCGGCACTGAGCGACGTCACCCGCCAACGCCCAGCACACGGCTGACATGCCGCGGGGACCACGGTCACCCCAAGTCCTGGTGTCCGTT